CCCCAAAACCCCAAAACCCCAAAACCCCAAGATTCAAGAGCATATGTTTTCAAGAAAAAGAAATATTATCAAAATCCGTAAAATTTATTCCATCAAAGGGTAATAATATACAATTAGTTTTCAAATTCAAAATTTCTTTTCACAAGTTATTTTCAGCCATTTAAATTTAGTGATATCCCTCTAGCTATTTAGTTTTCACTTTTATAGATTTTTATTGATTTAGGTTACCCTCTATAATATGCAACTCTAACCAAGATGTTGAACAATATACTTAGAGTAGCATAAACAATTTCCTTTTCCTTAATACTTTCTTATTAAGTTTATCTATTTATTTTTGCAGTTGATACTTAGCTTCACTAACTGATATTGAAGGGCAAATAAATGACAATCCGAGAGTACACGGGCATAAGCAATATCCAATCAACTAACATAAACTGCAAGGCCAATTATCAATGAGTATTTCATTTATTTATTCCAATATTTTCTCGTATTAAAACTGCGATATATAGGGCTCAAGCAGTTTCTCATCATAGGAATTTATATCGAATTAGCTGGCTAAACCTGTAACAAACGTCTTTGCACTTGGTCTAATCACATGAATATTGTCTCTACTTTCTGGGATCAACTTATTGAAGCAAGGGTCCATTAATTATGATTAGAATTTATAATTTAAATTATTAATTTATGCATATTTTTTAATTAGTCAGTTGATTGATGAAATTAAATTTCTATGCAAAAAAATCAAATATTCTGTTTAACTTTGACATCATTCAATTCGCTTTGTCCCTCCATTGATTCATTAGTATTGGTATTTTCAGTTTCTAAGGACTTGTATCTCTCTAATGAGTTTCTTCTCGTCCTCAGCTCTTTAGATCCAACTGCTATGTTATCTTAACTTACATTATTGAATGTATTATTATTTCTCTTATAGTTCAATTATGAAGCTCTTGATGTTTATTTTAAGGAAATATGCTGACTTGAAATATTTAGATATTTGCTTTGACTCAGCTCTTCAATAGTTTCTCTTTGGAATTTACTAGTTTCTTGTAATTTGTTCAAGAGAATACCTTCTAGCATGCTAAGTTTTTTAAGCGCTTTTTCCTTTTACTTAATTTCTTTCCTTTCATTTCGAAACTCTTGTTCTTTCTTGTTCAATGCATTATTAATCTTGTCTCTTTTCGCCTTATCAACAAAAACTTATGCCTATTCCACTTCATGCCTTATCTTCCTTGACCTTTTCATATTCTGATATATCTCCATAGCTGCTTACTGTTCAATTTCTTTGCTAAATTGTTTACTCTGATCTCTAATGGCTTTCACCTATTCTTACTTCTTTAAAACCATCTTATTAATCTATTCTTGAGGATCAATGCGCTTCACAGACTCTTTTCTCTCCATTATTAGACTTTAGATTTCACTTTTTGACTAATTTTTAATCATGGAATTAGTAATGTGAGATATATGAGCTTTCTTTTGGATATCTAGCCAGAACTTGGCTTTTTTACGAGTTTCATCTATTTTCTTCAGAGTCCGCTCTTCCTCCATTTGAAGCACTCTTATACGATTATGAACCTATTGTAACTGATAATCTTTCTCGTGATTAAGTCTTTTAGCTTAGCCAAGGGATACTGGTTACTATATTTAAATTGTACTGAGAGATTTGTAATTCTCTGGGTATAGAAAAGAGTGAGAATTTAAGTGATCTTAATTACTGCTATTAATTAAGTTGCTTGTTGTATTCAAGTCCTCAGGTTCTGGCTCAACTGCATCAAGAGATCTATTTAGATTTCCTTTTCCTTTTGTACTCTTTGGCTTTGTTTAAATTATAACTGATTTTTCCATAGGTATGACAGTGTTTATAATAGAAAGAGGAGATCTATTTCTTTTCTTGTGATCTTATAGAGGTGGAAGTTTTGATCGACTGAAACGGTTTGATAGGTTTACTTAAGTGCTTCCCTTTTGAACTTTTTGAATATCTTGATACTGATTTATTTCTCCCATGTAAATTTTGAATGGGATCAAATTTTTCTTCATTTTTGAGTCAACAGAAATATTCAGTTTATCGTTTGATGAATCGTGCTTAATTGCATAATCCACTGAAAGCAGAGGATTTTTATTTTAACTATCATTTCTTGGTCCATTTCTAGTCTTTTTTCTTAATTTTCTACGCTTCTGCATTTTCTTCTGAATGTCAACGCCTCCAATTTCCCCTCCAACATTCTATTTGTTATTGTTAGTTAGTATACTATCACGCATCTTATCATGATCTTCAAAGTTATTTTAGTAGGGATTATAGGAAACGTTGGACTAATCTTAAACATTGATGCTTTGATTGTGCTAAGAGTGGGTTTAGCTTTGAGTGTTGTCAGTTTAAATGCTATCTATAGAGGGTTAGACTAGTGCTTGTAATGACATATATATTTATTTGTTAATTTTAATTTGATATAATATATTAGTTTATTAAAATTAAATAAAATCTAATAATTAATATTTGTTTATTTTAAAACGAAACTTTAATTCTAATTTTACATTTATGGGGTTTTGGGGTTTTGGGGTTTTGGGG